GTGTGAATTTAAATGGACCAGGGTTCAAATTATGATGCTCTAAACCTGAGTCTATAAAATTCTGATACAATACAGTTGACAGTCCCACCTACCTTCCCTCTCCATTCTCCTTACACCAGCAGTTACTCAGGGAAAGTAGCCATGCCTGGGTCTCTGTCTAGGCCCTAGGATCTGATGTAACTAGAATGGGGTACAGGAAAGATGCAATAATGAAATTCAGAATGATCAACTGGCTTGAAAATGGCTATTTTATAATGCTTTCCCTTACCCATGTTCCCTCAAAACTTCTAAAGTTAAAATAAACAGACCTCTAGTAACATAAAATTGGATTAATTATTTAAGAAGATAACCTGTGGCCTGGTAGATCTGGAAGTTATTGGGACACAAAGAATACAAGTTAATTTAGAACTGAATGCCTTCAAATTTATAGACATGGGCTGGGTTTACATTCAATCTTATGTCACAAAATCTGGTTTACAAAGAGCATTTATCTTCTACAACATACAAGGACTGCTTAAGAAAGTATATCAAATATTCATAAGATGTTGGCAAAACCAAAGCTTGAATTCATAGGCGAATTATAAATGGTTTTAATCTATTCTTTAAAGCCGGCCCAGGAGGTGGTTTATGTACTCATAGCCTTTAGTCATCACTGGCTTACGTCATTATATATGACACAGGTCTATATAAGAAGGCATTTAAAAAGATTATATAACTGACTTTTCACTAATTCAGGTCTATCTTGGGCAATTATTATTAGTTGAACTAAAAGGACTGGGTTGACTAGATTTTTTTTTCTTGAGTCAAATCCCTTTTTATACACTCTTACTTGAGCCTTCATAGTAACAATGACCAAGCACCCTACACTCTTTAGCTATAATAATAGCTAAATAATAATACCTCATGGTTGGTATTAGCTCCATTTCACTGATGAGGAAAGTGAGACTCAAAGAGGTAAGTAATCTGCCCCTAATCTCAGTTGGTAAAAGGTATAGCAAAGATGCAAGTCTCAGTCATCCAACTCCAAAGCCGCTATGTTTAACCACTGTTACAGAAATGTCATATACCCTCTGTGCAAAAAAATCACTATCTGATATAACCTAAATCCCAGTGATTCGGCAATACACAAATACTTCACGGCTGACAAAGAACCTCCACAGCCTCCTCTTGGAGGGCACAAAGGACAGTATTAATGCGTGTACCAAACATGTTTCTCTCGGTCACTTCCTGGGAAAGCCAGAAAATGGTACACTTTTGATCATTTCCAAAGAGCCTTTCTGGCTGTTGCCACTTCACCCAGGGAGGAGGTCCATGGATTTAATAGCAAGAGACAGTAAATGAGTAAAATCCTTTGTATATTTCTCAAAGCACTTTTATACTCATTAGCTAATTTAAAGCCCACCACCCTGTGGGGGAAGCAATACCATGAGGTCATTCCTGTTTGAAAGACAAGGAGACAGAGGCTCGGGTTACTAAGTGAAGTCCCAGAGTTAGTGTGTGACACTGGCAGGACCAGAACCCAGATTCCCTTCTCATCCACCAGTCTCTTCTTTGGGGTCTGAACCACACACCTTGGAGGCATAGAGGGCCCTTTATCTGACCAGAGGTGTGCCTGGCATCAGGTGGGTCCTGCAGGTGAGAAAGTGAACCCACCGTCCATAACCCTGGGAATCTGACAGTGATTCTAAAGAAACAAAGCACTGAAACACCAACATAGTCTCTTAGTTTGCCTAGTTACTGACAAAAGCCACAAAAGGGACAAGGAGTTCAATGAACAATTTTAAAAGTGGAAAATCACCAAGCTTCTAAAAAGCCAGCATGAGAGGAGATGTAATCTGTCGGAACTGTAGATTTAAATGAGACAGACTTTCCAATTCCTGGTCATAAGGGGACCACCTCCTCAATGACAACTTAATGTAAAACTGCAGTGAAAGATACAGACATTCTTGGCTCCTCTCACAGAACACTATCATCAGAGATAAAAGTCTTCATCTATGATCATGCTTGGCTACTCAGGATGTACAGTTCATAAACTTCCGACTCACCTTGAGAAAAATGATCTGTTGGAAAACCCAAGATTTTTTCCAAAGCATCAATGTTAGAATGCTTTAAAAATGTACCAACAACAAATCAAGGGGTAGATTAAAATCAGTTCAAGAATACAATAGGATGGCATGGCCACACTAAAGAAGAAGGAATCAAGGGGCAGAAACAAATACTTCCAAATGGTTAACACTTAGAGACACATGGCATCATTTCACGATGCTTCATCAGAAGACAAAAGCATGGACTTAAGTGTCTAAAATGGGAGCCTTTTAATTCAGTGCTTTTGGGATTACATTTGTGTTGGTCCGATGGTCCCTAAGGGGCTTTGCAATGTAAGTCATCTTCCTTTGAACATTTACATTCTTCTAGTTTTGTAATCTCTCTAGTGTCCCCTAAAAAAATTGTGAAGAAGCCTAAGATTAAAATAAAAATATTTTAAACTTGCCTTAACCAGAAAATGAATACAAATGACCCATTTTGAACTTTTGTTGCTCAGGAAAAAGTCAAGGGGGAGCAGGTGGGCAGAGAAGCGCAGGTGATGGTTAGGGGAGGTGGGAGCACGCCAGCTCATCGGTTTCCCCACAGACACCTTACCATCTTTCAAGATCCAGCTCATAACCCCTCGGTATACGCCTCTACTCTAGCTTTGCCATCCTGCACTGCTTAACAACAGTCTCCCCCACTAGACAATGAATGTTAGCACAAGGCCGCCGTTTGTGTCTTAGTCATCTCGGCACCCCTGGCCTCTGCCCCAGAGCTGGGCATTTAACAGAACTCAGGAAGTGCTGGCCAAGTTAGCCAACATGGCTGAGAGGCTCTGCTGTGCAGAGGTGGTTCTTACTTTACACAAAGTACGCCTCCGCATTTCCTACAAAGGGGCTTTACGGGTGGAGTAGAGTCAGCATGTAGGTCTTGGGAGTTGGGGCACAGCATGAACGGACAGTGAAAAGTCACTGGGAAGTCTTGGATTTTATTTTTAAAAATTCAAGCATCATTTGTATTCTTCCTATGGGATCTCAGTCTGTTTTGATACAAAAATATTTTTTAAATTATGTATTATTTTCCCGAAAATTTAGTTCAGTAAACCGGTTGTTCCACGAGGGTGTGTGACTTTTTCTATCCTCCAACTTTGGGTAACGCCCATGAGGGTGCGCACTTAACACCCACCATTATAATAGGAACCCCTCCTCCCATTTTTTTCCTTTTTTCTTTTTCAAGCTGCTTCATCATGCCAGGGCGATGGTTCCTGCTCTGGAAAGCTCAGCGATAAGGCATGTCACTGGCACTGTTAAAATTAGTGGTTTCCATGGCCTCAGTCAGTTTAGTTGGGTTTAGGAGACACGGGGTGCCAAGGAATTCATAACAGAATTGCTTTAACCTTGTACCGGCTGTTCCTGTGGCAAAATCAAGTGCAATGCTGTTTCTCCAGGGATAAATTACACTCTTACAATCCCAACACTAAGCTAAGGCCACGGAGGTTCATCAGGAGAAAGGCACTTTAAAATGTCAAGCGAAAGCACAGGAGGCTAAAGGAGCCACTTATCTGTAGAAGGAAGCTTTGGTAGGGGTGAGGGGCAGAGGGTATGCTGCCACACCCCCAACTCAGTCCCAGCTCCCCCACTCCACTCCTCTCACGGTGGGGCTCGAAGTCCTGGGCCATTTCTAGATTAGGGCCTTCACGTGACAGTGTGTGTCCATTGTGTAAAACTGTCCACACTCCGTCAAGGAGAATCCCAAAATCATTATCCCTTGAAAACAGGCAGGGAGGTTCCAGGGAAGATGAGGAAAGGAAGCAGAGACGGATAACTAACTCCGCTGTCTGCTCTGGAAAAGGCAGTGCTCGGGAAAATGCAATAAAGGTCCTTCACTGACTCAGCATTACATGAAGACATCACTCCCCTGAGAAACAAGCATGGAAAGAGGAAGATAAGGTGAGTGAGAAGATAAACTCACTTGGAATCAAGTCCATCCACGGTATTTCCTAAGGATGTCTGGGCTCAGTGAGTGACAGGGCCTCCTCTGGGGAGATGGGCACCTCTTGAGCCTCTAGTGGTACCCCAGGTCCCCAGTAATATTTATATGCCCCCAGCCAAAGCTGCTTCTGAGATAGCCTAGATAATGCCGGCTCCTTTCGGGGGTACTCCCTTTTCTGGGGTGTCTGAGGGATGGTGTGGATGCAGAGCTGCCCCAGGGGTCGCCAGGGCGGTAACTACACGTGGGGTAGAGCCCAGAAACACCCTCTATAGAGTCTTTAGAGAGGGTTAGTCACAGAGCTGAGGTAAACAAACTGAAATTCCGAAAATGGTGACTGAGTGACGAGGACTGTGATCAAACCAAAGGACATGTATGTGCAAAAGCTGACCATTGCTCTGCATTAAAGAAAGGTTCTACCAGCTAAAATTAAAAATGAATCAGAGGGAAAATTCTCACAGAGACCGCAGCAGAAAACCAAGCTAATAAACGATCCCGATCAGAAGGATATCAGATTTTGAAGTTTGTTCAGCATTCATGTGCTAATCCAGGCTTATTTCTCCTTCACAGTGAAATACAAAAACACCCTGGAAATCGTCAGGAAACTCTGTGGGTACATTCAAAGGGCCAGGTTTTATACCCATGGGAATAAAAGCACAGGCCGCCCTTTCCGGGGGGAGACCGAGGCTGCGACTCCTTTTACTCACTGGTAATCCACTTCTACACATCGGCCAATTAATGCAGCGGGCTTCAGGGAAATGTTTTCATTAAATTAACAGTGTTTGGCAAGCGTCAGAAACACAGAATCTCACAGACAGATACGGGCAGAAAGAATCACAGTTCAATCCAAAAGCAACACACCACAGAGGGTACATCAGAGTCCACACGCATGCAGAGGGGCCGCAGAGGAGCAGCTGGGAGACACACAGAGCCACCTCACACGTGGCAGCAGCAGAGTGTGCAACATGGATCCAACTGCTTACCCACTAAGGACACCAAGAACCAGGTTAAGGACGAAAAATGAGCCAAGGATGATCAGACTAACAAAATACACCCATGGCCATTCCCATCCTATCGCATCATTTACCTGTAAAATGTAAGGAGATCAGTTATCAGTTATCTATTTACTAAAGAGCGGAACCCTAGGAGCAGCTGCCAGACCACTCGGGGCTTTGATGGAAGGTTAGTGTTCCTGGGACAGGGACCCCACCGAGAGGCCTCCTTTTTTTGTCTTCAAATTAGGACCAGTTCTGCTGCTGACATCTGCAAATGTGGCCCACCAAAAGTCGGCCAGGGCCAGCTCGTTGAGCTACTGTTTTGTACCAATTACATTTGGATCCAGACCAATAAAGCAATTGTAAATGTATCTCATTTTAGGGCAAAGGGGCAAGAAATGGAAACTATTTAAATCCCAAGCAACACCGCTGATTAATTCCTGGTCAATAACTATCCTATAGTTTTCTTTTGTGAAGGCTGGTGAGGTTCCAGGAAACGTCATGTTTTGGGAAGCCTCAGCAGAAAAGAAAGCATCTTGGAGAACATAGAAAGCACTTGGCACCCACTCCCGGCGGCCCCCAACTAGCAAAGCCTGTGTGGTCTTGGCAACTGTCCTCAGGATTCTGCTTTTAAGATGAAAGAGGTGTAGCTTACCCGCTCAATACACCAAGTACAAGATTTAGTACGAAAAATGACCCAAAGATGACGAGACTGACAAAATACACCCAGGGCAATTCAAATCCCATAGCATCATTCATCTGTAAGAAATAAGGTGGTCTCATAGGAGTGGGTTAATAAGAGAATCTAGTAAGGAGAGAGGGTTACATTAGAGACAGCATTCTATACATTTAATGAAACATTTACTTAGATTCAAATCAGAGACAACAGTAGCCAATGCACATTTATTATATATTCCCAACACACGTACATACATACACACACACACGTACACACATATGTACACACAGTCCAAACCTTTCAGGGCAATTAAGAGCAGATTTTGGCCACCTGTAAGGGAATCAGCTGGGATTTGGCTCTTCCTCACAGGAAACTACCTTGATAACGGATTTTCAGAAAAGATCTTAATAGAGGACAAAACTAGTGCTCAGCTGGAAATTATTTTCTACTCTGCCCACATTGTTAGTACTTTTATGCTTTTAAAATTTATGATGGTGGAAAAGTCTTACTTATAGAGACAAACTGGCAACATTTGACTCTATAAATTCTTTTACCAAAAAAATCCTAAAATAATAACTTTGCATTGGATGCCAACCGACCCAAGAAAATCTAACCCACCTTAAATCTAGATTATCTGCAAACAAGTAAGTTCAAGCACAGCTACACTAATGCCAAGAAGGAAAGCGTTCTGAAATCAACTAGCTGACCCATATTCAAGGGTGCTTTTGGGAATGAGAGTTTTCCAACTGTACCCACAGGAAGGACTCAGGAGAAGGAAAAACCCGTTATCCCCCACACCTAGCTTGGACCTCGATAACCCACCCTGGGAGAGTTGGCTCCAGCAGTGAGCTGGCTGGTTCATCCAGAGGAACCGATACCCGTGCTGTGGGACAAGCTCAAGCAGAACTGTCAGACTTGACTTCCCTGACAGGCCCTTCCAGGGAAGGTTTGGTCATGAGCAGCTTTCATGCTGGAGCAAACAGGCATTAAGGTTCACAGCTGGATGGAATTTGACAGCAGTGCAAGTCAGTGTTAAATTGGGTAAAGGCTTCTCCCTGGAAAGAGGAGTTAAGGACCAGTCAGAGGAATGACTGAATGACCCCAGGCCTGACTTTACTGGAACACCAAAAATCTTCAGCCAGCAGGACTATATTACAGTCTGGGCCCATTCATGACTCTTGTCTTATAGGCATAAGCCCTTAGGCCTTTAAGCATGTGCTTTCCCCCACCTTATCTGGCTCCAGGTTTCAGCTTTACAGAATGAGGCTCATGCATTTCACTATGTTTGCCTCATGCAGAAGCCAAACAGGAAAAGAGAACATTAAAAAAAAAAATTACCTACCATCTGTTGCTGACGTCTAGGGAGAGGGCATCAAATCCCTTATGAAACACCTGTTTGGCCATATGAAAACTGATGTACTTAATAGAACTCATATCAGTCTGCACATCTTACATTGGCAATTAGAGTAATGAATGAGCCAAGGCCACAACTGCAATTGTTGATCTAATTAAGTTGGATAAACTAATTTCAGCAGGAAGGCAGAGGGTAATTCTTCCAAAGCAGCTACACCACCCAACTTATTTAAAAGTCCCTGTGTGGAGGAGAAGAAAAAAGCCGCCTGGTGTAGTGGCCACAGCCCAGCCTGGAGTCAGCACTTTCCACAGACACCCCTCTGGGCCTTTTTTTCCTCTTTTGGAACAGAAGTGCATATAACAGGGGAGAGCGTGCTCACAGGGAAAGGTGTTCAAGTCCAGTATTCCCACCAGGGGACCTCACTTTTCTATAACTTTGGCAAAGTCAGGTGGTCAAACTGTCTGCTTCACTGATCCTCATTCAGGCCTCAGTCTTGTACTCCAGAGAATGGCTCTAGGAACAGCTGTCTGCTCCACTTGGGAGGAAAAAAAATTTTTTAATTAAAGATCCTTTCAATTTCTTAGGCGTGTTTGACAGATTCCATTTGTTTGAATCAGAAATACCACCTGGAGTGACAGCTGGGGGCTGCGGGGAGGCTGGGGCTAAACAGAGGCCACAGAAGTTGGGGAAGAGAAACAGAACTTAAGCTCTAAAGGCAGGTCTTTCTCTGAACTAAACTTTCTCAGCCCAGGTCTCTTTTCAGAGGCTAGGATTTCTTAGACCTTACCATATACCTAGGACAAGTCAGAACTGGCAAGCTGCTCCCCAGAACACCCATTTGATAACAGACTCTGCTTGGGATTTTGTGTGCATGGTCTCGATCAACAATGGAGAAAGTGGCATGAGCTGATTTCTATTAAAGTCATCATGTGGTGTTACTTGGTGCCCAGGAAATAATATTCTACTAAATTTCAGTTTTCCCTCACTTCACAGATATGCTTTTGGGAATGAGATTAAATGCACATTCATGTCTCCAATTAAAGGCCAGCCTAAGACTTTTTGTCTTTTCTAACTGTTGAAAACACTACTAGAAGCTTTGTATACTGGTTGTAGCACCCCTGAGCATAGTCAGAGAAAGGTACAGAAAGGCAGGCCCTTGGTAGCTAGACAGGAATTTCCCAGGAACCTTGCATGAAGCAGGTGGTCAGCTTGACCATGAGAACATCCCATTAGAGTCTCACAGCCAGCATTTCCATAGGTGTGTTCACTGAGTAAAGAGCCAGTGCTAAGGCAAGAGACCATAGATGAAGTAGTTGGAGAGCTCTCTCCTAATACCAATACTACTGAAATTAATTTTTTTATATTTAAAAACATTTTGAGTTGAAAAAAAAATTAGATCATGTAGTCTTATTTTGCATCTTGTAGACCACAAAATTAAAGCCCAGAGAGTTTTAGTGACCTACCTAAGGTCACACACCCAGCCCTGTCCCAGTCTCCATGCTCTTTCCTTGCACTACACCCTTCTGCCTCTGTGGATAAACAAATATGTGTGAGTCAGACGACAGCATAATTATGTTTATGCAACTCAATTTATAAAAGAGCTCTACAATAACTTTTTTCCACCAGAAGTTAATAATCTCACTCCCTACACATCCATATGGTGCTGCTCTGTGTCTTTCTGCATACTGGGCCCAACTGTACTTCCCTTCTCAAGACCCTACCAGCCATTTGCAAGACATTATTGAGAACTATTGAGGCATCAATGAACTTGAGAACACTGACTGAATATAAACTTGACAAGATGCAACATAATCCCTGGCAAAGACTTTGTCCACCATATACAAACACCTAAAGGATGGAGAAATTTGCTTGCAGTCAATATTTAAATTCTAATCTCCATAGTTACCTCTCAAGATGTTTCCTTGATACCCTAGTTGTGGATAACAATTGATATTTAAACATGGTCCATCTACACTGAGGCAATGGGGTTATACACTTGAAGAGTAATATTGGGTTGTCAGAAAAGTCATGACATATTTTTTCTATGTTTTTCATTGCAAAAATGTATCACGACTTTTCCAACAACCCAATAGTAATTAGTATTTGTTGAGCACCTGCTCTGTGCCAGGCACTGTTCTGTTCTGGAACACAGCTGAGTGGCTTCCAGATGACCGTGGCCCATAAAATATTAAGAAGGCTTGATTAACTTGGCTCCTGCCTCTTTCTATGATGAGTTAATAAATGGAATCAACAATTTAAAACATCCTGATATGTTTCAGAGACTAAGATCTTAGTGAACACTCTAGAAGACATTACTTATACACTACCTAGTGTTCTAGAAGGGTGGAAGGATCCCAAGAAGAGTGCTGGGTTCTAGTCTAGACCAGAGGTCAACAAACTATGACCTGCAGGCCAAACCCACCCTTGCCACCTGCTTTTGTACAGCCCTTGAGCTAAAAATGGCTTTAAATCATTTTTCAAAAATCTTTAAATGGTTGAAAAAATCAAAAGAATATTTCATGGCAGATGAATGTTACATAAAATTCAAATTTCAGTGTCCATAATCAAGTTTTATTGGAACAGAGTCACCTGTTTGTCTACATGCTGTATATGGCTTCCTCTGAGCAACACAGGTAGAGGTCAGAATTGAGGAGTTGTGACAGAGACATGGTCTGCAAAGCCAAATATATTTGCTACCTGGCCCCTTATAAAAAGGTCTATAGACTCCTGTTCTAGATCAAGGACCACAACCACTTACTGTAGGATCTTGGGGATATTCAGTGATCTCTCTCTATTCCACTGTTTCCATCTCCGAAATCCCAGACTGTCTATGAAGGGCTCTACACTGGGTTAACGTTGATAAATTACTTGAGTTCCTTCATTGGAATAAAGATGCTTTGTCGTTCATAAAGAATATAATTATTATTTTGTCAAATTATTAACTGTGTCATATTAACAACAGAGATAATAATTATATGATCTCAGGTGGTACTTAAATGTTTTCAGGACAGAAAGTGAAAACTTGTTTCTGGGTACATGGAGTTCTCTCTCCAATCACTAATCACACACTTCCACAAGTTTCACTTGCTTGACAATAGGAAATTGTCATCAGAGAATCAATGGGTAGAAACACGACATAAAGTATAAAGTTTTCCATTAGTCAAGAAATGTTGGATCAGCACTGAACAATTCACCATGACAATAGAGAGGACAACAGAGGTGAGAGGAGTCACAGATTTTTATGTTTTTAAAACACCAAAATGCTGTTTTCTGTACTGTTTTGGGGAAAGGATCAGAGTTTGAGCTATTTGGATGATGCTTTTCCGTTTTTCAGAAATTTCAAGGGAAGATTGGAATTGAGACCTCAACCAACCTAACTAGGAGCTGCAACTTAGAAGATGACAATAGTGAAAATGAACCCTTTTCCTAGTTTGAGGGTCCCCTTGCACGACTATGGTCTTGGCTCATCCAATATAATCTCCCTCCTCTTCCTCTTCATGAAAGGCATTGTCTAACAGATATAAACAGCAAATGTGCATACCCACACAGACACAGACACACACACATACACACTCCCATGACAATAAGAAAAAGGAAAGAAAAAGGTAGAAACAAGATACAACATGTTGGTGATACTTAAAGCTTATTACCAAACTATACACACACTTTGGGGATGAAAACAAAACATGCCCTCTTTGCCTAACATTGAATATACAGGAACTTCTACAATCCCATAAGCATGATGTTCACTGGTGAAGGGAAGCAAAAATCTACTTATATGTGTGCTATGTTCTCTGAAGTTATAGAGTAATATGAAATCCTATGAAATGTCTAAAATTTAGATATTGTCAGAAGCTACTTCTCAATTTACAGGTTGTCTAACTAGAGATTGCCCATTCAAGAATTATTTTATTAATAATTGCCATTTAATAGCTCATTATTGGAGTCCTGTTTAATCCCATTTGGATTTAGGTTTAGGCTCAAAATCCACATGTCAGCTGTTTTTCCCAACAACTCTGTGATATGGAAAGTAATTTCCAAACTTCTGTGAGCTTTTTCAAATTCTACCAAACAAATAAACAAACTCAGCTCTGGGAAATGGCTGTTAAAATACTACTGTTCTCCATTTATAGCAAACTCTTCTGGCTCTGTCAGGAACAAGAACCAGACCTTAGTCATCAAAAGGGGTGTCCATTTGTTTTCACCACAGGTTGGAAGGGTCCCCACTCCATTCCTACCCTCTCTGATCAGAGTTCTATAGCTCCAAAGAGAAAGGAAGAGAGAGCTAAGGGCTTGCGCTGAGCTGGCTTATAGTAATACTGAAGATGCAAGGGAAATACGATTATTTCCCATTTTGGCTTTAGGGCTGTGCTAAGTTATGGACAGCATGAAAGGAATCCAATTTATGTTCTCTATCTTCTGTTTAGGATTCTAGTAGTGCAATCTGCGTTTATGTATAAAAGATTAATTTTATCCCATGGAAATCCAGGAGCCTCTTAACCTGGGAACTGGCCCCCTGGCCCTTTAAGGGTTTAATCAGGACAGCCCTGTCCTTCTGGGGTTTCTCCAAAAAGGGACTACTAGCACAGTCAGCAACAATTCCCCAGGCAGCACTGGGAAGTGGAGGAAGCCAGCATTGTGCATTATGCTTTCTAGAATGGTAACTGAAGCCTTGAGGAAGAAAGGTGATGAGTCTGAGTGAAGTGAAGGTCTGCTTCCCTTCCCAAAGAACTGACCTCAAGGGTTTCCTTTTCAGCCTACTCTCTAATGACTCTAGCTATCAAACACTCTTATCCAAAGAAAGAACATGCCATCAGCTCTCTGCTTAAGCTGCTCACCCAGTAGAGCACGTCTGTCCAGCCCTCCATGGTGATGCACTGAAACACGGTGAGCATGGCAAAGGCAAAGTTATCAAAGTTGGTGATGCCTCCATTGGGGCCAACCCAGCCACTCCTACACTCCGTGCCGTTGGCGGTGCACTGGCGTCCATTCCCTGAGAACGCACACGGTGCTGGGTCCTCTTCAGCTACGATATCTGCAAACAGACAAATGAGGCTTCACCACTCAGGAGATGACCGTCAGGAAACCCAAGCCTGTGGAAGCTGAGTCTCCTTGCCAGAGCCTGGCATGCCCTGCCTCCCACCTAAGCTGCCTCAGAATTCTACGTGTCTGCCAAGGTCCACTTCACATAGTCGCCATTTCCTGTACTCAGAATCCATTGTTCTCTCCTCACTCGTGCACCGTTCTTAAGCCTGTATAGAACAAAGCTATTGACTCACCGCATGCTCTAGTTTTCGGGGTCTCTCATCTTGTTTGCCAGGGCACATTGCATAGGAAATCAGCATAGAAAAGGAGACTAAAGTCTCATTTATTCTGAACAAAATTCACACTAAAAACTGGCTCAGTAAATTTACTGGTCCACTTGCCTCCCCCTGCTCCCCCACCTCCACCCCCCAGCATGTTGTTTTAGATTTTCCCAAAACTACAAAAGTTGTTTGGGGGAACATCAAATTTTTTTGAAGTCAGGTTAGCTACCATTTTAATTACTCACCTGAGTCAGCAAAAAAACATGTTTTGTGCATTTTCCCAATAAAAAGTTCCAATCCTATAATAGCATAGATTATGATTACAAATAATACCAAAAGGGCTATGTGAAGGAGGGGAACCATGGCTTTTATAATGGAGTTCAGGACAACTTGTAAACCTAGGAGAGAGAGAAAGAAGTTTATGAGGCAGGAAGATACTTCAGCAATGCACATATATATATAATTCCTGATGAGAAATATATATATATATATATATATATATATATATATATATATATAAACACACACATATATGGCACATAGTAATAAAACTCAAAGAGATTTTCAAAGCTTTTAATTAACATTAAACCTGGATGTGACATAAGTTAAAAAATGAACCTTCAAGGTCACCTAATCCAACTTACTCAATTGACAAATGGAATAACTAAGGAAGTCCTAGAGAGGGGACTGTCCGATATCAAAGTCAGTCATTTGTTCTTCCATTCAACAAAATTCCTTAAACATCTACCATGGGGCAAGCGTAAGGTTTAATGCTTTGGGGGATATAAGGATGTATTACATAAAGCGCCTTCTCTCAAAGAGGTTTTATTCTAGAAGGAGACATAAAAATTAAATACAAATTTAAGGCAGCACACAGAGGCAGTATGAGTAATACCAGTTACCATTAAAGAGGGATATAAACATCATTTCTCAGTGGCGAGAAGAAAGGGGGCTGGGCAGCAGCCTCCCCAGGTGGGCAGGGGAGAGGCGGCGCCAGGCAGAGGGAAGAGAACACCAGGAGCACTGCAGCGATCCAGTGCAATGCGGGCTGGGGCAGGCAGGGATGAGTCTTGGCTGCTGGGCACACAGTGGAAAACACTATCAGGAAAGGAAAGCAGACTGCAGCTAGATAGCTCAGGGCCTGACTCTAGTCCATCTGCAAAGGCAGCCTCTTTAGAAAGGTGAATGGGGCAGCAGTATACAAGACCAGTGCAGAAGTCGTTGGAAAGTGCTGGGCTCTCCAGGTACAATGGGCAAGGATCAAGATGAGACCAGACCTCAGCAACTGAGTTTGAGGGAGAAGGTACCCACGGACATAGGGTCATGGGACAAAACCTAGTGCTTGAACAAAAATACGCATGTCAAAAAGAGGCTCTCCTGGAATGAGGGAGGTAGGCGAGGCGCAGAGGAAGGAGAGGGTGAGAGTAGTTTAGACCTGGTGAGTTTGATCACTGGCATATCATTAAGAGGCAAGTGTCCTGCAGCTGAACTGTGGGATTCAGAGATGAGGAAGGACCATGAAAACTGAGAAACTACGAACAGAGTAATACTCAGCCATGGTACAGGAAGCAAAAAAGAGGTAATGGTAGAAGGACAGTGGCGCGACCCTCAGGATTGGGACTGGGTGGAAGGAAACAGGAGACGGAGGGACAGTGGTCAGCAGGAAACCAGAACCAGGCTTCCTGACACCCGTGTTTAGGGTCCTGCAGTCTTTCCACAGCCCCATGACCACAGCTTCTGCTCTGTGTCGTTCACTCTGCTTCCCTTTCTTCTCTTTCCCTTCTCCTCCCCACTGTCTCTCCCTCAAACTGCCCTTTTCTAGTACCTTCTCACTTTCCTAAGTAGGAAGAATGAAAGAATATTCAAAGAATGAAAGAATTTAAGAAGCTAAGATGCTAGAATTAAATAAGTTAAAAAAAATCATAAACATTAAGCAGAGGCTACTTATTGGCAATAATAACAAAACTTCACCACGATAAGAAATTCAGGGAAGAGGTGGGGGATGAGATGGAGAGGGGAGACGGAAAAGAGAATTTCAGACTCACAAGGAGCCCATCTTCCCAAGACTCGCATTATCACCAAAAATTAGGTCCTGCCTTCAGATATTTCATGTTCAAATGGTTCCTTTTGGAAAAAATTATCAATAAGATGATTGTTAATGTTTTCACCTTCTAGAAAGAATAGGTAGAGAGGAAAAGAAAATATCTGTGTTAATCTACTTGGATAGGGCGTCGTTTTGTTATTTTTAATTTTTTTTAGACATGGATGGCCCATCATTCAGCAGTTAGCTCTTCTAAATTCTATGGCAGTGAGCCATATGTCTCATGAATATGTTTATATTTAAGTCTTTCAGATTGGTCAAATTTGTGAGATAATAAAGCAGTATCTTAATGTGAATGTGAATGTGTAGATGTTCATGACATTAGAATCTTTGTATACAATCGATGTGTACAGATCTCACAGGACTGTAATAAAGGAGGCAGCAGGACGAAGTGGAGAGAACACCAGGCCAGGAACTAGGAGGCTACGTGTGGGTCTGATCCGGATTGGCCACCCACTAGCTGCGAGAGCCTGCATGAGTCCTACCTCTTAACAGGCCCCAGCTTCCTCATCGAAAAGATGATGCACTTAGAGGGGATGACCTCTAGGGTTCCTTCCCACTTTCATGGTCTAGGATTCTAATAAATATTTATCAGTTGAGTGTGAGTGGTTAAGAACTCTGCAAATGTTGGAACTATTATCTTTTGAAATATGTATTTACCTTTCACTGAATGAATCTATATTCACGTACACACACACACAATCCTGCCTTGTAGGACAGTCTGAATTCTCTTTAGGAATGACCAGACAATTCTCAGATCAGTGTAAACAGTCAAACTTTCCCAGAGACTGTTAACAATTTCAGGTTCGTGAGGAGAAATCACTAGGCCACAGCTGCCAACCAGCACTGGAAATAGCATGACCCGAGCCACCAACCCCTCTCCCCAAAGCCCACTGGGTCTGATGAGAGAAAGGCCACCCACCCAGGGCAGTTAAAATACGGGCTGAAAAGGGCCTGGGGCTCGGATTCCCACTTCTTCCTGTTGAGCCATGGTAGAACATGATGTAGATCCCCATTAAGTTTCAAACAGTGACATTTTGGGGGGAAAGGAAGAAATAGCGTTTAAAACTGGTTCTCAAAAGAATCCAGGAGCACTGGACTAGTCATTTTGTGAAAACCTCATCAGGCAAGGGAGCCAAACCAATGCTACATGAGTTCTGAGGGTTTTCACCGGCCAGACACACACATAAAGCCACAGCACCCGTGTGTCTGCTCGCAGCACACAGCGCAGGCAAGCTGTCCTGTCATTTGCTCTTTGGGGGAAAAAAAGTTGTCATGGTTACTTTGAAATCAGATTAAGCTGTAACAACTAAATCTGAAAGAACATGTTTGCTCACTGAATTTCTCATTTAACCATGTTACACGTAACAGAGCCAGTCATTTCCAAGGTATTTCTATTTCTCTCAATTGCTTCCAGACGGTTCTGTGGTTTTTGACTTGTGCTGATCATTTTCAATGAAAACAAATGAACCATCTGGAAAAACAAGTACACAGAAAACATGACTTCCTACATTTTAACATGTTCAATTTGGAAATCTGTTTTCTTCCAGAGAATGTTGGGTGCCTTCTGAGCATCAAAAGGTTTAATAAAAATTCACAGAGAATTTCTGGAGAAGCAAAACCATGATGTGTGCTCTCCTGATGGCTTTCCGAGTTGTGACAAACAGGCGAGCCCTACAGTCCCAAATTCTTCCCGTAGCTGGGAGCAGGGAGCCACCTCACAACCACAGTCCTTAGAAAGGTGATAGGACTTCTACACTCTGAAGTCCCCAACAGGGGGTGTCCTGTCGGGGGCAGAGCCCCGTGAAGCATACCTCACACTCCTTGTGGAAGCAGCAGCCTGAAGCTCCTGGCCAAGGCACAGACAGGGCACCTATGAACAGTCAGATGGCACCTATGAACACTCAGATGGCACCTATGAACACTCAGATGGCACCCAACCTGACCTGGAGGTCTGCAGCAAGATGCTGCCTAGGGCCTGGTCCTGATAGGTATCGGAACCAAGTGGACAATAACAGCATCTCTCACCCCTGAGGGTCTCCTCTGTGCATCAGACCTTGTGTTGGGGCTCTCCCTGCTCTCTCACTCAGCCCTCACGACGACCTTCAAGCAGGTGCTATTGTGCCCCACATAAAGGGAAGGACCTGAAAGCATTCACCTCTTCCCCTAGAGTGGGATAGGCATGGGTCCAAACAGTGGAGAGTCGAGCAGAGTTTCCAGGAGTCCAGTCCCCTCACTTTGCTCCTCACTTTGAAAAAATGCAGTGAGTTGAGCCTTTTTTCCCACACCCTCATCTAGAAAACTCACCTCATCCCTAAGGGGGAAGTCTGGGAGGGGGAGGAAGTGATGGCTAGCGTGTTGTCACCAAAGGAAAACCAGACTGCAATCAGGGGGCTTGTACTCAAGGTCTCATGACACCACTTACTTCATCTCTCTAAAAGAAAAGGTTCTCTTTCCTTCCAAATCAGGAAGGCACATCATTACCCGCCCCTCTCGGGGACCCAAAGTCACACACAAGCAAAGTGTACTGCAAACTGCGAAGGCCTCCATGGTCATCTACAGAGCCCTCAGCTGGTACATAGCAACTCACCTGGCAGAACTTTGTGTCAGAATCCTGAGACCCACCCAGAAGAAAAACAATCAACAAAATCCTGGCTTTAGGAAACAAAACGTGCTTACTGGGCACTCCTGATACTAGTCGAAGTGGTCGCAACACTCGAAAGGCGCGAAGGGCTTTGACATCAAAGCCTCCTGATTTGCCACCAGAGTGGTTACCGCCTTCTGTTTCTTTGGTTAATTGTTCCAAAATTACACTAAACAATCTGAAAGAAGAAGAGAGGAAGAAACGTTAGTCTGTCACCCACAGAAGCAACACAGGATGATAATAGTAGCTATTTTTGAACAAAGGCTAATTCTGTATGTCTACTGCTTAAATAAAAAGAAAGCAAGGTTAAGGCAAGAACTGGGCTGCAAATCCTGAACGTGACCCCTACGAGTAACATGCATGGGGACAGGGATTGATCTCCTCTGTTTCCTGGCCAATGGAGCATTCTCTGCAAGTCAGGCCCCACGGAAGAGGGGACTCGCTGGGGATCCAGTAACAAGCTGGAATTGCCCAACAGAAGTAACGACACAATAATCCTAACAGCTACCATTTACAAGCATTCACTATGTGCCAAGTACTTTACATACATTATCTCATGAATCCTCACAAAATGTTATGCTGTAGGAATTATTATTAACACCATTTTACACATGAGGAAACAAACTTCATGAGAACAAGAAACTTGCCCAAGGTCACACAACTAGAGGCAGAAGTAACATGAATCCAGGTATGTTGGCCCCACTAGGATGTGGGTGGGTTCCATCAGGGCAAGGAATTTTAGTCTGTTTTGTTCATTTACTCTCTTCTAGCCTAGTGCCTAGAACAGTTCCTGATATTGAAGAGGAGCTCAAAAAAATATTTGATGAAAATCTGTGAATGAATACTGACTTCAAATTCCCAAATATTAAGTGATATGTTATATACCACCTCTACCCTCATAGGGATGTCCAGGGAATGATGTAAATCTCAGATGCTAAAGAGCTGTGCAAAGACCAAAAGCAGTAACCTACGGTAAGGTATTAATACCACCATTTTCTCCTTTGAAATGTGAACAATGTTGTATCTGGCAGCCACAACAATTTTTTTTCCTCCTCTAGGAAGGTTTTTCAGATAAAGCTATTTTCAGGCACTCTGTTCATTTGACAGTTACTTTTGCTCTTTCAAATAAGCATTTATTCTTTGGAGTTGCTGCTTGTTTTTCAGAATAAATATAAATGTGCCCATTTCAAACAGAATCAACTCTGGCCAATCAGATTGTGGGAATAATTGGCCCAGTAACAAAGAAAAGGTTTCTAAAGTTTAATTAGCAGCCAAAAGCAGAAACTCTGCCCCCACTGGCATGCCTCTGGATCGCCAAGAGGCTAAGTCCATAAAACGCAGGGTGGTCTGATTTGAAGTCCTGATCAGACAGTCGTGTCATTCTGGGGCATTTAAAGGCTAGTTATTTGTTTTAATAACAGTACAGTAATTAGCAATGAATCCAGAGAGGGAATAAGTCAGGTCTTCACCTTTTCAAAGCTTCAGATGACAGGTTTCTCTCATAAGCATAGTTTGTTGTGTTTTTTTTTAATTACTGTAACCCCCAGCAGCAAGGCTAAAGTTCAAAGTCTCCCCCCAAAACAAGTTCATAGCTTCACAAAAACAAAGAAAAAGGAAGAAAGAAAACCTCCAACTTTTCTGAAATGTGGCAGCCACAGGAATTTTCACCCCAAAGGGTTAGGAAAGTAATTTATACAGGTGGTGACTTAAGATTGCTTTCAAGTATCAGTGTTTTGCAATGTATACTTTACGGTCCTTTATCCTGTTCTTCAGCAATGTATTTGAAAACAGGTAAAAATGTCTCCTTCCGACTAGGAACTTGAGAGAGGAGCTTGAGTCAGAGAGGAAAGCTGGCTGCAGTTTCCAGATAACCCAGAGTGGAAGGAGTTGGGACTGGCTTCCATTCCTAAGAGTTAGGAGGCATTAGGAAAAGTCCCTCTCCTTCTCTGGGCCTCAGTTTTCCTCTCTGTAAAATGAGAAAGCTAAAATAATCCAGAGACAATCTCCCCATTCTAATATTCTGTGATTCTACTCCTTTCATCACCACCCCAACCAAAAAAAGTACCATGTGCCTAGAGATCAGGACATGAGAAAGTATTTGGTCCTAGATGCTTATTAAGTTTGCCCCAAGACAGAAAAAAAGAGCAAGGAGCTACCTAACCTGACATAGAAGCCCCAGAATCGAATAAACACCCCGTGTTCTTTTTCACAAAAGCTTAAGCAATGAGCCTGAGTGCTTAAAATATATGTTTACTGAAAAATTGGAAGTGTGGGATGAAAGTTGGCTCAGACCAAAGTTTTCTAGACAGGAGAATAATATCAGCTCTGGTAGACACACTGAGTCCTCCTGTGGTCACAATATTAACAGCTAACATTTTAGAAATATCAATTACTTTCTTAATGTCCCAGCTATTAGGAATCTTAACAAAAGCAATAGGTCACAGTTGACTTGGAAGGAAAAATCCATTGGATTGAGATACAGTCTGCAGTTGGAAACTTCACTGAGTAGGAATGTGATTCAAATGAAGACATAATTTTATTCTTTCACATTTTTTAACTTTTCTTCCACTCTGACTACAATTTAGTGCATAGTTTAGATTAAGAATAACCTGATGTTCTAAAGTTTTTCATAATTAATGAGAAAAAAAGACCATTGACTCCAGTTCTACTTTAGTTTTAGATGATTTTTTTTTTACTTTTTAAATCAATGTTATTGTTGCTAATTTATATATAATAAAATAGACCCACTTAAGGTACACAATGAGATGAGTTTTGACAAAAATGTACAAGCCCAAGTAATAAACACAACAATCAAGATACAGGACATTTCCAGTACCTCCCACAGTTCTCTCATACCTCTTTGTTGTTATCTTCCCTCCAAGCACAGCCTTAGGTATCCACTGATTGATTAGCTGTTTCTCTCTCTTTTCTTGAATCTTATATAAACAGAATCGTATCGCATGTTCTCCTTTTTGTTTATCTTTGTTTGCTCATCATGTTTTTGAGAGTCATCCAAGTTGTTACATTCACCAGCAGTACTTTTTTTTTTATTGTTGAATGATACTAAATTGTATGACTATACCACAATGACCTTATCCATTCACCTGTTGATACTTGGGTTGTTTCCAGTTTTTCTCTACTATGAAATAAAGTCTCTTTGTGAGCATGTACTTTCCCTTATCTTGGATAGGTACCTAACAGTAGTACTGGTAACATGGTCAGTGTATGATTAATAGTGTAAGAAACTGGTGAATGTTTTCAAAATGATTACACCATTTTGCATTTCTACAAGCAGTGTATGGCAGTTCCAGCTGCTCCATATCTTGGTTAACATTTGGTATTATCAGTCTTTTTACATTGAGTAATACTAATAGTTATGTAACTGCTGTCTTTGTGGCTTTAATTTGCATTTTTCTAATTACTAATGATGAACATCTTTTTAGATGCTTGTTGACCATTTATGTATCTTCTTTTGTGAAGATCTGTTCAAATCTTTTACCCATTTATGTACTGGGGTATCTTCTTACTATTGAGTTGTAAGAGTTCTTTGCTTTATATATTCTAAATACTAATTCTTTATATGTATTGTGAATATTTTTTCCCAATCTGTGCATTACTTTTTCATTTTCTTCACACTGTCTTTTGCAGAGGAGTTTTAAATTTTGATAAGGTCCAAAATTTCCATTTTTTCTTTTATAGCAAGTGCATTTTGTGTCCTAAGAAATCTCTGCCCACCCCAATGTCATAACGGTTTTCTCCAGAAAATTTTAGAGTTTGAGCTTTCACATATAGGTCTAGGATCCATTAAGGTAATATTTGTATCTAGTATGAGGTAAGAATCAAGAGTCTTCTTTTTTTATATGGGGAAATACTTATTCTGGCACCATTTGTTGAAAACAGTTTCCTCAACTCATTGAATTATCAAGGCACCTTTGTCTAAAATAAATTTTATGTGTCTATTTCTAGACTCCCTGTTCTGTGTAACTGGTCTTTATGTCTATTCCTTATGCCAATGTCACAGACTTGACTACTATAACTTTATAGTAAGCCTTAAAACCAGGTTCTAGCTTTGTTCTTAAAGATTTCTTTGGCTAGTCTAGAGCCTCTCTCATTTCCATATAAATTTTCAAATAAATTTATCAATCTCTAAAACAATCTTGCTAGGGTTTAGATTAGGATTCAATCTTTGGCTTCATTTGGGAAGAACTGGTCTTCTAATATTGAATCTTCTAGTCCATGAACACTGCACATCTTTCCATTTATTTAGGTCTTCTTTACTTTTTCTCAGCAAAGTTTCGTCACTTTCAATGCACTTTCCCTAAATATTCCATGTTTTTGGATGTTGTAGTAAATAAGTCTCTAAATTTTCATTTTCCAGTTGTTTATGACTATTATACAGAAATTTGCAGTCTTCTTCATGCTAACCTTTTACTCAGAAACATTGGTCAGTTCATTCAAAACATAACTTTGTGTGATTTTAATCTTTTTAAATTCACTGAGACCTGTTTTATGGCCCAGGATATGTCTCTCTTGGTGAATATTCCATGTGCATGTGAAAAAAATGTGTATTCTGCTCTTGTTAGTGGAATAGTCTAAAAATGTCAATTAAGTCAAGTTGCTACTGTTTGTGGTACTGTTCAAATTTCCCTGTATCCTTAGTGATTTTCTGTCTACATGTTCTACCAACACTCCAAGGGTCAAAATGTACAACTACAAGTATAGATTTATCTATTCTTTGTTTCAGTTCTCTAAGTTTTGCCTTTGTGTATTTTGAAGCTTTATTATTAGGCATATATATATATATATATATTTAGGATTATTACACCTTCTTGATGAAACGACACCTTTATCATTGTGACATGTCTCTTTTTATCCTTGATAATATTTCTTGTTCCGAAGTCTACATTGTTGGATATTAATATAGCCACTCTCACTTTCTTTTGATTCTTTTTTGCATGGTATGTATTTTTCTGTCCTTTAACATTCAAATTGTTTGTGCCTTTATATATAGATTTCTTATAGACACTATAGACTAGGGATTTGGTGTGGTTTTTTTTTTTAACATACAATCTGAAAAACTCTGGATTTTAATGAGGGTTTAGATGGGTTTAAATCTATCACCTTGCTGTTTCTTTTCTATTTGCTCTGTCCAGTGTTCCTGTTTTCTTCTTCCCTGTCTTTTTTGGATGGAGCGTTTTTTAAAAATTTCATTTACTCTCCAATGTAGGCTTGTTAGCTATACCTCTTTATTTTTCTAGTGGCTCCTTTAGAGCTAATGTCAGCAAAAATTTTCTGTAAAGTGCCAGATAGTAACTATTTTAGGATTTGCAGGCCACAGAGTCTCTGTCACAACTACTCGACTTTGACATCCTAACACCAAATAGCCATAGACATGAGTGAGGGTGACCGTCTTCCAATAAAATTTTATCTACCAAAGCAGACAGCAAAATACTTTGTCAATGTAGATTATAAAAAAAAAGGCAGTAAACCCGACTTTGTCTACGGGCTGAAGTTTGCCAACCTGTGCTCCAGAATTTACAATATATAGCTTTAATTTATCACAGTCTACCTTAATAATATTTTATCACTCCACCTACTGTACACGCACTTGCAGTAAGATATGGCTCTTTTTGCTTGTTCCTGTCCTTTGTGCTATTGTCATATATATATTATCATAATATATTGTCATATATTTTAATTTTATAGAAGCTATAAATCTCATAATACATTATTATCGTTCTTGCTTTAAATAATAAATTTTAAAGAGATTTTAAAAAGAGAAAAAAAATTTTAATATTTACTCATGCATTTACCCTTTCTGGCATTCGTCATTTTTGTGTGTGTGTAGATCCATGTTTCTATCTAGCATCATTTTCCTTCAGTGTGCAAAAATTCCTTTAATATTTGTTGAGGTGCAGGTCTACTGGTGATGAATTCTCACTTTTGGTTTGTCTGAAAAAGTTTCTTTTACTTCAATTTTGAAAGATATCTTCACTGATATCTTCACTGAATAAGAATTCTAGGTTCCCTAGCACTTTAAAGATGTCTGTCTAATGTCTTCTCTGATTGCCTAGTTGCTCACAAGAAGTCTGCAATGTCTTTTTTCTCTGACTGCTTTCAAGGTTTTCTCTTTCTCTTCAGTTTTGAGCAATATGATTATGATTATAGCTTTCTTCATGTTTATTTTGCTTGGGCTTTGTTGGGCTTCTTAGACTTGTGAGTTCATATTTTTCATCCCATTTAGAAAATGGGGATTCAATATTTTTTCTGTCTCTCCTCTATCTCCTCTTTTCTGGGACCCCAAATATATGTATGCTAAATCACTTGATATTGCCCTATAGATCATCATCATGACTCTTTTTATGTTATTGCTATGTCTTCAAGTTCCTTAAATTTTTCTTCTAATGTTTCAAATCTGCTGTTAAGTCAATCCAGAAAACTTTGTTTCAGATGTATTTTCCAGCTCTTGAAATCCCATTTGAATTTTTTTATTGTCCCATCTTTCATCATTGTAGTCATGCATCCCTTTAAGTTCATAAACATATTTAAAATAGCTGTTTTTTTGGGGTTTTTTAGATTTTTATTGGGGAATTGGGGGGATGGGAACAGCGTTGGGAAATTGGGGGAAGGGGAACAGACAAGTTGCTGTCTTTTTGTTCTTCAGTCTAGTTGTGGAGGACGTTGCTTCACTGGCCCAAGTTGGCACCATCATTGCGCTCTTCCCGGGCGAGGCAGATCAGTCCCCGGCTTCTGGACAGCCGCTCACGGCGGCTTGAGGGCCGCTCACGCTGGCTGCTGGCTACACATGGTAGCCCATGGCAACCCACTGCAGCAGGGGCTGCAGCCTATGCCATTGCCAGCAACTCAGGACAGTCCAGCTCCAGGTTGAGCTGTTGTTCAGCATCTTAGCTGTGGAGGGCAGTGTCACTGGCCCGCATATGTGGGATCCGAACCGGGGCCCTCTGGCATCCCAAGCCAGTTCTTAACGTTCGCGCCACTTGGCCGGCCCTACAATAGCTGTTTTTAAAGGTCTGTAAAGTAATCCTCTACTAATGCCATCATCTCTGTCATTTCTAGGTCTGTTTCTATTGATGGAATTTCCTCCTGGTTATGGGTCACATTTTTTCATGTTTAGAAATATTTGAATGGATGCTGGATGCATTAAGTGTCTGGATTTTGTTTTCTTCCTTTAAAGATTGTAGAGTTTTGTTTTATCAGGCAGTTAAGTAACTTGTATATCAGTTTGCTCCTTTTTAGGTTCTTTTTCACATTATTAGTAAGGGTTTCAGGTAGTCCTTACTCTAGAGCAGAGGCTGGCAAAAATTTTTTGTAAAGGGACAGAAAAAATATTTTAGGCTTTGTGGGCCTAAACTATTCAACTCAACAAATAAATATGTGACTGTGTTAGAATAAAATATTATTTACAAAAATTGGTAACAGGCTGGATTTGGCCAGTTGGCCACAGTTTGCCAACTCCTACCCTAAAGCTAATTTGTCCCTACTAATGGCCCTTCTGACAGTCAAGGGTGTTCAATGACATCTTTCCATTCTGGTTTGTGTTCCCTAATAGTGTTCTTTGCCTGGCCTCATAGAATCACACCCCATGAAACTGTATTTTAGTCTTCAGCCAAAACTCAAGAGGATTCCAAGACATATTTATAGAGTTCTTTTCTCTGAATAGCTTCCTCCCCTCCCACACTATGCCTCTCAAATTTCAGCCACCTCAGCCTCCCTGAGCTCTTGTTTCTGTCTCAACTTCATGAGACCACCACACTCTGCTTGATTCTCTGTCTTTTTGCCATACTATAGTCTGAAAAACGTCTCCAGGCAGAAAGCCGAGGTGGTTGTAGGGTAGGGACAAAAGAAATGGAGCTAAGCATCTCCATCCTCTAGCTGAACAGAAAGCCCAGGGTCAGGAGAGGCCTATCAAGCTTATTCCAGAACCAAGGGACCTGGAAGGCTCCTGCTAGCCACTCCTTATTAGAGTTCACCAAACACAGGAAGGCGTGGTGCCTATCTACCACCTGTTCATTTTTTTTTTTTTTAGATTTTTATTGGGGAATTGGGGGGTTGGGAACAGCGTTGGGGAATTGGGGGAAGGGGAACAGACAAGTTGCTGTCTTTTTGTTCTTCAGTCTAGTTGTGGAGGACGTTGCTTCACTGGCCCATGTTGGTAT